ACTAATCTCCTACAGAATGGGAAAAGATCTTCACCAACCCCACATCAGACAGAGGACTAATCTCCAAAATATACAAAGAACTCAAGAAATTGGCCATCAAAAGAGCACATAATCCAATAAAAAAAAATGGAGTACAGACCTAAACAGAGAACTCTCACCAGAAGAATCTAAAATGGCTGAAAGACACTTAAGAAAATGCTTAACATTCTTAGCCATCAGAGAAATGCAAATCAAAACAACTCTGAGATTCCACCTTATACCATCTGATCTTTTTGATCATTCCCATCAGCAAACAAATGTTATGCTTGCTTTTACCTATCAATAAAAACAAGTTTGTTGTCATTGTTGTTTTTGTTTTGATTTGATTTTCGAGACAGGGTTTCTCTGTGTAACAGCCCTAGCTGTCCTGGAACTAGCTCTTGTAGATCAGACTGGCCTCGAACTCATAGAGATTCTCCTACCTCTGCCTCCCAAGTGCTGGCATTAAAAGTGTGTGCCACCACCACCCAGCAAAACAAGTTTGTTTGTTTGATTTTTTAAGAAAGAAAAACCACCCTTTCCTGATCTGCTTCCCCGATCAACAAGAACCCTTGTCTTTGTGTCTTTGCTCCCTTTGTGTAGACCTGCCTGAAGTTGTCTCTATGGGCCGACTCCTGTGAGTGTATTATCTCTTCCCCTTTAGTTCTTGGTCATCTAGACAAGCACACTACCCATGAACTACACCACTTTCCCAAACTCGCTCCAATCCATCCAGGGATAACTACCGCTAATACAGAAATGATTCCAGCGTTTTCTTTCTGCAGATACACACCCAATAAATAGTTGCTTTTAAAAGTGATCAAGGTGGTGAGATGACAGGTGATTTCTTTATAATGTTTTAGCACCACATGAATTATTTTTAATGAGAAATGTGTTATTTCCTAATCAAAGGGAGGAAACTGATTTCATTGTAGATAAAGAAAGCATCCGTGCTTTATGCAGCACTGTAGCGTGAGGCTGATTAATCTTAACAATAAAACTCCGGAGTCAGATATTAGGAGGTGAACGCTGAAAGATCAGAGCAGTAAAGCAACCAGCCACTAAAGTTCTTACCTCTATGAAATCCTTCGACCAAAAAGTATCCTGTCTCTACAAGTGCTCAGACTGAATGCCTTGAGTTCCTATCTCCTCCTGCCTTTTATTCCTCTCTCTGCCCTGCCATAGCCCTTCCTGTCTCCACCTCCCTAGCACTGGGATTAAAGGTGTGTGACTCCCAAGTGCTGGGATTAAAGGTGTGAGTCGCCACCGCTTGCTTGGCTTTGTTTCTTTTTTAGGCTAGATCAATGGTGTGTGGCCCAGAGTAGTCTTGAACTCACAGAGATTCATCTGCCTCTCTCTCCCAAATGCTGGGATTAAAAGTGGGTGCCACCACTACCTGGCCTCTATGGCTAGCTAGTGTGGTTAGCTCCACACTCTGATCCTCAGGCAAGCTTTGTTTGTCACAGCACAAACAAAATCTCACCACAGAGCACTGCACCTGTGGCTTTTCTTCAAAACGGAGGAGCTGGGAAGAAAGCTAAGGCAAACAAACACGTTTGTTTTCCGTAGACAAACACCTACTGTAAAATATGCAGTAGCCCCTCGTTTCTGAGAACCATCTGGACAGCTTTTTAACAGTGCACACTCTACATCAGTATTTGATTTTCCTAGCTGGAGATTATTATCTTGTCTTGGGCAGATGACAGTGAAAAGGATAAATGGTGGGTAGGGGGTCTCAGAAAGGCCAGGAGGAACTGGATCTGAAATATGCCTTGGGTCATGACATATCTTTCCCTTGTCTGGTGAACCCTCTCTCCCTGTAATACATAGTTCATTCTCCCCACCCCACTTATCGGAATTCTCATTAACTTCATTTCATCTTCGAATGTGGAAACCGCCATGATCCTCATTTCCAGCTTGGCCCCCAGGTACCACCTCCCTTTCCCATCTTTCCTTGCTTACCTTGATCTAAACAAACCTGTCATATCCCTCTCATGTTTATGAGATGACCATATTCTCACCTTAAAACTGAACAGTTAGAAACACGGTAGGCTGCTTGCCAAAAGATATTTTTAAATTAGAGATAATTTGAAGGGAATGTTTCCCAATAACCAACACCCCCATGAGGTTTAAAACTCCAGTTTTGAGATGGCTTGTCAATATGCATTTACTTGACTCAATAGCTGGAATCAACCATTTCTTTAAGAAGGGGTAAATGTATACAGAGAAAGGACAGCATGTTCAACACAATATTAATAACCTCTGGGTTACTGGATTGGGGGAGTTGCCATCCTATATTACTCCTTTTCCTGAATGCTCTGGTTTCCACAACTACTTAAAGAACTTAAAAATTAAATGCACTTACAGGTAAATGCTCAAAGAGAAAAGGGGGTAGGAGGTAAGAACAAGAAGGCAGAACAAGTCTTCCTGTCCTCTTGTAGCCAGAGGGACAAATGCACTAAACTTGAATCTCTGTCTCCAGTCTCGGACTCCAGAAACCCATTCCTCAGAGAGTAGATCTAACAGACCTCAGCCAGGTCCAAAGCGAAGGCAAAAACAAAGATCGGAATTTGAGCTGCCACTCAGTGGCAGAGAACTTTCTCAGCATGCATGAGAACCGCGTTCCATCCCAGAAATGCAGACGTGACGGAGGGTAACTGCTACTGCAGCACAAAGAGGGCTATTTGTAAGTGGGGGTGGGGGCGAACAGCTGGGGTGCAGGGGGTGGAAGAACAAGCTCCAGAACGTTCTGTTCACAGAGCTGCTCACGTTCCTGGAATCCCGGCTCCCCACCTTTGCTTTGGCATCTGAAGCACCAGGAGCTACTTAAGAGCAGGTTATCTGCTTCCAAGAAGTAAATCTCCGGGACAGGTATTACACGCGCAGGCGCGGAGGGAAGGTGCAGCGCTGAGCCGCAGCTCCCAGCCAGAGCCTCCGCTATCTCTTTTGGCAGAGGTTCTCGGGGATGAGGCCATGTCTGATGGGGATTTTCTCCAGCTCTGACAGCCTTGGCCCCACCAAAACACACAACTTTGTTTCCCCATACATCACTGCTCGGGAGTCTTCTGGGCTTTTCCTTTCCAGCATCCACAGGTCAAACACTGCGTGTTCCCAACAGTCCGTGAACTTCTTGGACTAGCAAAGGGACATTGATTCTGCTCAGCACTCCTTTGGAGTTTCTATTGTGTTGGATTTCCCATTCCCCCTACCCAGTCCCCAGAGAGTAACTTCCTCCTTGTTCTAATAACTTGGACCACAGTCAAGGTTGATGTGTTTCTCCATTTTGCAGGCTATTTTCTTCGGAAGAGACAAAACAGAGGCCAGCAGGGTAGCTGAGGTTTGTCAGCAGCCTTAGGAAGTCAGCAGCCGTGGAGGATACACAAAGAAAAGGTCTTCAAACAAGCACAAAGTAGACAGAACAAGACGCTGGAAATAGAAGTTTTCAAAATGGAGAACTTATGCTCAGAAAGGACTCCCCAGAAATGTCTTGTCCTAGGAACCCACTTTAAAAATGCATTTCTTGCCTCAGGAGATGACACAGCAGGTCTCTGCGAGCATGAAGACCGAGCTCTCAACACAAAAACCCAGGCATGTCAGCATGCGCCTATAATCCCAGCATTGGGAGCCAGAGACAGGCAGGTTCTGAGAGCTTGCTGGGCTTCTGGCCTGATCAAAACAGGCAAACTTTCCCCGTCAGGGAAGAGAACCTATCACAAGGCAATAATGCGGAGAATGACAGAAAGCGGCACACGAGGGACATGGGGGAATTTAAGAAATGGGCAAAAAGGAGCTGCAAAGTTGGCTCAGCGGTTAAGAGCACTGCTTGCCCTCCTTCCGGAGGACACAGGTTCATTTCCACCACCCATGTGGCAGCTCACAACCGTTTCTAACACCTGTTCCAAGAGATCTAATGCCCTCTTCTGGCCAGTGTGGGCACTGCAAGCATGTCGTGCGCAGACATGCAGGCAAAACACCCATCAAAATAAAATACAAATAGAATATTTGGGGTGGGAGTGAGACAGAATCTCTTTACATAGACCTGTCTGTCATGGAACCTACATTGTAGTCCAGGCTGGCCTCGAACTCACAGATTTGGCTGCCTCTACCTCCCGAGTGCTGGGATTAAAGGCTGTGTGCCAATACTGCCTGACAAGAATATTTCATAATTAAAACTTACTGCTTACGTTACAATCACACTCTGGCATTTCATCGGGCAAGAATTACTAAATTCTGGATGGTGAAGAACGGAATCCAAGAAAAGAAGCTAACGGAGAAAGAAATGTCTCAAAGGTATAGAGGCTTTTGTTTTGCTTTTTTCAGATCCACAGAGAGGAAGTAGAAAGTTGGATAAAATAGCAGAAAAATTGAAGGACAGGGAGAGGCCTCAGAAGACAAAAAAGTGACTCCTCTGATTGCTGGCGGAGATTCAATAAAGACAGAACCAAGATAGGAAGAAAGGAGACACAGGTGGGTCCTGCTGTTTAAGCAGAGAAAACAAAATCAAAAGAAATAGTCCCGGCAATGTCCCAGATTGTGGGCTATAGGGTTGGGATTGAGAAGTTTAAGAACAGAATGAGTGGGAATGAATGTCTCTGCAAAACCTGCCCATAGACTCAGGGTAGTCAGTTCTTCCTGAAAAAAACGTAAAGTTATGGAGAAAAAGCAAGGTTAAATAAACTAAGGCTGGAAGAAAGACCTGACCAGCGTGCAATGACACATTTGATGCCACAAATACAGTGCTCTACGAAACAAGGAAGTGAGCAGGGTTCCTGCTGCACGGAGTTTTTAATTGTCTTGCACGGATGTCGATGAGAAAAATATCACCGATGCCACACAGTCTGTGATAAGTCTACAATAAACCAGGAGAGGGCTGACGCGGGGACAGACCGTCCCTATTCCCAGCTGCTACCCTGGCTCCCCCGTGTTAGGCCTAGCTCCTGCATTGCCCCCGATGTCAGTCAACAAAGCCATTGTCCACTCACTTGCTCTGCCCTTCTGTCCATTTCACTGAGCTGGAGCTCCCAGCAGCCATTCTAGAAGAGAAGAAGAGGTAGGGGGTGGGGAATGGAGCATGCGTGGTTCTGGCAAGCCCCTGGCTCCCAGAATCCAACAAGAAACTTTGAAGCTAACGGTCTGGTCAAGAGTGCCGCAGTAGGCTCCCAGCGCCACTAGTGGGATCAAAGGCGCCCCAGAAAGGCTAGACAGAGCCTGAGCTTTGGAATCGGATCTGGGCATGGAATCTAACTTCTCTCGCTAACTGGATGGGGTCTTGGGAAGTGATTTGACTCACTGGGGTTTATTAATTCATCTGTAACTCAGGTTGACAGTGCCTGGAGTCCAGAATCCTGTTAGGAAGCCAAGGTGCAGTGGGCTAGGAGGGCACCTGATGTCTCGGGTACATCTCACTTGTCTGAAACCACACGTGAGCTCTGTGATTGTTGAAAACCAGCCCCATCTGCCTTGCTTGCTTCCGTGTTAGGCGCAGAGAAGTGCTATGCGTGCCTGGCCACAACACTCCCCCTACAGTGCTCGTCCAGCTTGCGTGAGCAAAACCTGTCAGTGCAACCGGGAGTGGACACCTCTAACTTCCAACTGTTCAAATCAACACCACGCCAGTACAGTTCGGAGACTTTGCACATGCAAAGCCCTTCTCGATAAGATAACACAGTGGTTGAGCTTCAGTGATAGCGCCAGCAAAACATAAACACTCAGTGAAGTTTCATGGACACAATGTCTTTGAAGAATTCTAAAACATTCAACAAAGAACAGACAAACTAAGGGTTCCCAATATTCCTTGTTCCCTTGCTCTAGACCAAAACATCCCACTTCCACTTTTGAAAATGGAATGTTAAACACACCCCTCCAACTGGGCGAGGGAGGAGGGCCTCTGAGTGCTACTGTGAGCTACACCCGCTTTTCTAGGCCCAGGTCTGTGCTCCCTTTATTAGCTATAATACCCTAAAAATGATTTAAACAGCGATAAGTTCCTTACCCCTTCAAGGTGGCTCCCAGGTTCATCTGATTCCAGGTCATGCATTCAAGCTGGGAGGTCATTTGGTATAAATTGTCACTGTGGAAAAGATCCATAGTTAGAACCACGGCCACATGCACAGGGCAGAGGTGTTTCTCTAAACACAGTGGGGTTCTCACTTCACGGCGCAAGCCCCCACGTTTTCTAAAACGATGACTTGTGGGTCTAAAATGGTTTCATTTCAGGAGAGAGAGACAGAGAGAGAGAGAGAGAGAGAGAGAGAGAGAGAGAGAGAGAGAGAGAGAGAGAGAGAGAGAGAGAGAGAGAGAGAGAGAGAGAGAGAGAGAGAGACAGAGAGACAGAGAGAGAGACAGAGAGAGAGAGACAGAGAGAGAGAGACAGAGAGAGAGACAGAGAGAGAGACAGAGAGAAACAGAGAGAGAGAGGATGAGAGTAAGTCAGTAGTTTATAGGAAAAAAAAACCTTAGCATAGTGAACTTCAGTTCCTCAAGCTGTATTAAACTTTGGAGGGGAAGCGGCTAGAGGGAGTAAGGCTTTGGAAGGTAACACAGCCTGGATAGCTCAACATTAAAGTTAAAAGCCTGAAGCTGAGAGCAAAGTGACAGCGAATTAATTATTCGTGAAAAGGCCATTACGTTTGTTTAATCAAAAGGATAAGTATCATGTGGATTATGAGGGTCCGAAAGGGCAGGGTGATGGGTGATGGATGGGCTAATACCCAAGAGTGTGACGAGCCAAAGAAACAGGGCAATAATCTCAGCACAGGGCTAAGGAATTATTCTGCATGTATTTTATAATCCTAGTGAAAGTCAAGTGAAGCTTTGAGAAAAAAAAAATGTTTAACAGCCTGTGATTTACATTAAGACCTCAAAGGGGAAAACAGACCTCCAGGTAAACCAACCAAGGGCTGTTCTCTGGTCCGTTGTGTCTCATCACTAACACATAAACCAATGGAATCTCCGATGACCAAGCCCTATCAGGAAGACATTCAGGGCAGAACCAAAAGGGTTAACTATGAAATCCGAGGCCCAAGAGATTAATGGTTGGCCTGGAAACCTTCAGTCTAAACATATTACAGAAGACAATTTTTACCCTACCTTCACTGCAGAATGAACAGAGATAAGTATTCAATCCTTAACGCGTGATACCAGATCACAAATCCCGAACAATCTCCTGTCTTGTCCCAACATTCCTTTCTGTTGCTTCATAGGACAGAGGCAGAGTTTTTAATTCAGAAAGGGTTTGCTGGGCCAGCAGAACTGAAAACTTGTGGAGGGGTGACAGAAATCACACCGCTCTGAGTCACTGGATCCTGTTGTCCCTCGCTCTAAACCTTGCTCCATAAACAACAGCAGCGTCCATCTGACTCTCCTCTAATCTCTGTGCAAGTTATTCGGAACTCCTGGAGGCCAGTACCCTGGCCGAGGAGGAAATCGGCTTCCAGGAGGAGACTTTTGCATATGAAAAGTACAGTGACTTCAAACTCCAAGTATGTGTATCTTCATTAGTCAGTGTATATCTGGACCCCATCAGTCATCCCTGGGCTGACTGGCTATTATGCTACCACAGTATCGTACATATCAATGGGAAGGGGAAAAAAGATTAGTTTCTTCTGGAGCTTCCTCGTTTGCAGCGGCAGCCCGTGCTGGTCTGTGCCATTGCCTTTCGCAATTCCACGAATTCCTTCTGTAAGGCTGATGTAATTAATTCCTGAAAGACCCCAACTTTTATTAGAAGTGCCAGCCTGCTGCATTTACCGCAGCAGAGTTTCTTGAACTTTCTTTGGGCTGACAGTTCATTAATAAGCGGCCTCCTCCACAATCTCTCCGCTGGTTTTTGTTCTCCTGTGCCTTTTCATCAAGCAATCCATTTATTAATCTTGCCATTAATCTCAGCCAAGGGGCATTGTATTCCCCAGGTAGCTCTATATTTTTGTCACTGATTTTTAAAAAATTGCTCGCCAACTAAAATCACTCAGCTTCGGTTGACAACTTTCCCCGGCCCCATTGGGATGTGGGGTCTTTCCGGAATGACTTGATTCTTATGGAAGACTCGAGATATTATCACTTATTATTATTATTATTAACATTATTATTGTTGTTTTTTGAGACAACGTTTCTCTATGTTACAGTCCTATTGTTCTGGAACTCACTTTGTAAATCAGGCTGGCCTCGACCTCACAGACATCCACCTGCCTCTGTCCCCCAAGTGATGGGATTAAAGGTGTGCGCCATGATGCCTGACTATTGTAATTTTCAAGAAAGATGGAAAATAAGGTGAACAACAGAAGTTGATGCACAAGGATGAATGAATGAATCCCAGATTTCTAAATTTATATTTAGAGATTTTCCTAAGACTTATTGCACCGTCCTATTGATTCCTGATTGCCTCGGTACAAAAGGATCTCAAAGACAAATACTTTTAAATTCATTTTTTGGCCCCAAAAAGAATTTTCTCAGATATAGGACATATACATGTGTGTCTTCCTATGGGATATTTAATTTAAAAAAAAACTGTACTGCATTGTCCAATATGGCAACCACTAGCCATGTGTGGTTCTTGAACACCAGAAATAGAGCTTCACTGAGGTAAAGTTTGGGTTCTACTGGGTCAAGTACAACGTTTTAGGTAGCAAGCTGCTTTTTTTCTTATTCTCACGTGGTTACTAGCATCTTTCAAATACCCCCGTGACTCCCACTGTGTTTCTAGCAGACAGTGGTACTTAGGAGTGGCACCTGGTATGTTCTGCTCCTTTGGAAGCATTTGGCATCTGAGGCTAGTTCACTGTTATTTACATAATCATCACACTCTCACAATAATAGTCACAATAAAAATCCTAAATAATACTACTAATTTTAAAAAGATATTTTCTCTTTGCAATCTTCCTGTACGAAGGCCCTCAGGAATGGATGAGATTATGTTTTGAGTCTGTGGGAAAATCTGAGGAGACTGCCATTCAACCCTCTGTACCTTAGATTTCATACCTGTCAAATGAGAATATTCATCTTAGCCTCGTTTTATAGGGATATTGTAAGACTCAAAGAGACTGATGTTCCTAATGACTTTCTGAAGATGGTACGGAGAATATCCAGTTTTCTAACCCATCAGATTTTATCTGGCACGATTGCACATTCTCAGTATCACTCCGGACAATTTCGGGAAGTTATCCCCATTTTCAGACAAGGACCGACACTCGGAGGGGTCCCTGCTGCTAGTATGCCTGATGACCCTCCTCCCTGCTCCTTTAGAGGCTCCTGGGCATGATTCAACATCTGAACCTATGCCTATGTTATCATTTATATAACAGTACAGAGAAGAATCTGGAGGAGAAAGAACAAAAGAGTCGTTTATCCAAAGGAAGACAGGACCAGCAGCTCATGGAGCTGCAGGGATGCAAGATGCCTGTTGTATCCTCTGCTCCCCGCCAAGGATAGTGCATCCTCCCTGCCCAGTGACTGACCTCCCAACACTTTGTGTTCCAATATCTCAGACATGAAGCTTCAGAAGTGGGTGGGGAGATGGAATGGGGGGAAGGGTTTGCAGAAAACCTCCAAGCTATTAGTAGGCTTCCTTAACCGTACCCTGCCTTCAGCTGTGGGTTCCACAGTGACTCAGGGGGTTGGTGGCATGGCCCCGTTTTTCCCCTAGAGCCAGTGGAGGCAATGACAGTAACTGCTGCTGCAGGCAGCAGAATGTCAACTCGAGCTAAAAATACTGGCTCCCACCATAGTCAAATTCTGATCTCTGGGAAATCGGTCAATACCCAGCTCTCATCCTGGAAGCCTGGGGAAAGAGACAGCATCCTTCGGGGACTACTGAGCTCTGGCAGATGGAGCGGTTACTTATTAAAGGGCCATGGTCAGTGTCTACCACCTCATCCCCAGAAGGAATCAGATAAGCCTGTGGTTTGGCTCAAGGCAGCCCCAGTGGTCACGTAGACATTTCAGCTCCAACTGTTCAGCTCTGCCTGGTCGGAAGTGGACCTTTGGCTACAGGCTGCCAAAATATAGTCCCAATGTCATGATAGCCTTTATATTTTTTTAAGTAGCTTTTTTTAAGTCACTTGTTTCCTATGTTTAAAAAAATGTTTGAAGTCAGAAGCAAGGGAGAAAGAAAAGAAACTTCTATAGTTGGGATTGATGCGTGTTGGAATAGAATAAAAGGAAGTCAGTCCTAGCAAAAGGGGGAACTTGAAAGGAAATCAGTAGTAGATCGTATAGTTTATTTTGGCCTGGATTACAGAATTACTGTGTTCTTGACCTCTACACAAAAGAAAGGAAGGGGGAAAAAAAACCCTCCGCTATTATCTGGACCAGAACTCCTCCACTCGTCAAATGCAGTGAACTCAAGCACGTTGTCGTCTTTAAGTGTGTTTACTATATTCAACAGCAGAAGGAAGAGAGGGTCCTGACAGGATCCTCTAACTGCCCTGTCTGAGATCACAGTTCCTCCGGCCTCTGTGGCTGGGGCTGGAAAAAGAGAATCTTGGGACAGGTAAAGCTTCCCCATAGGATTAAAAGACAGACAAACAGGTTTTGAAAAGTGGAGATACCCAGCATGGGTGGTAAAGGGCCCCTGCTAGGAGGACCCAGTCCTGCACCAAGGGAGAGGTCTCTGTGGCCTTGTCTCTACCCCCCAAGCAAGGTGCATATGGAGAGGCTACATGCAGCCTTCCACAGAGCCTTTCTCCAGCATGGCTCTCCCTCCACAAAGGCGCCATGGAGGCTGCTGCCCTGAACTTTCTGCCCAGCAGGCTCCAGTGAATAATTATTTCGTGCTCGCTCTCTTGGTATTGTATTTGCTCTCAAGCTCACCAGTTAACCGAAGGAAAACCCGCTAGGGATTCAATTTCTAATAATAAACACTTGCTCGGCACACAGGTTACAGGAATATTTGGAACTAGATCCCCCCCCCCTCCCTGGAGACGGGTTTAATTCAAGCCTGTGGCTCTGATAACGTGGCCCACCACCCTGGAAACCACTTCAGACCTTCCACTTTAGCTTCTCTGGGAAACGAATATTAAAATATACTGTATGATGTCCATGGTTTTACAGGTGAAGACGGGCAAAATTAATGGCAATTTTATTTTGAGTACAGCTGTCACCTGATTTATGTCTTAGTTGAAGCCAAATCAACGTGGCAAATCATAGACATCAATTGACCCACAGTTTCCAAAATTCCACAGGAACTCTATGACTGCTAAGGTGTTTGATCGTCTGTGAAATTAATGGGTCGTGGTCTCTACGGGCCACATCAGTATTTGGGAATAATCAACATTTTATTAAAATATTGGAAGCATAAGTATTTTAGGACTGGAGTGCTACCTGCTAAAGAGCAAACATAGGACAAAAGGAAATCATCTCACTTAAGCCTATAGCATGGATAAAGAAATCCAAGTAGAGCTACAGGCTGGAGAGATGGTTCAGCAGTTGAGAACACTGACTGCTCTTCCAGTTCCAGAGTTCAAGTCCTAGCGCCCACATGGAGGCTCTCAACCACCTATAATTCTAGTCCCAGGGTATCTAACACTCTCTTTTGGTCACTGATGTAATTTGTGCAGAGAAATACATGCAGACAAAACACCGTGTACAGAAAACAAATAAATACAGTGTTTAAAAGGAAGGCATATAAGGCTAATAGAAAAAGCAAAAGGATGAATAAAAACTAGAATATGAAAAAAAATCAGTACAAACAGGAATGTGTGTCAAACACAGTACCACTTTTCAAAGTAGCTGTGAGGCTCACCCCGCCCCATGCACAGCAGGGAGTGACTCTGAGGAGGTAGCAAACACAAGCGCCAAACACCCAGGCTTGGGAAGAGTGCCCGGATAGCTGCCTTGTCTGCTTAGAAATTGCAGTGGCTTCTGCTGCATGGGGTTGGACTTCATTACTCCTCACACTGGGAGATCAGGTAATACACTCTTCCCTGAAACCTTGCTTCTGGGCAAGCACAAACGAGTGGGGTACCAGAAGCAATCCTCCTGGAGCAGCACAGATGAGGGATTTATGTATGCTCTTGCAGTCTCTAGGAGGCTTCTACTGTACTGAGTTTCATCTGTATGGTGTGTGTGTGTGTTATATGCCCAATGGTAAAGATGACGCTGAAGGAGTCTGGAGAAGGCTGCTTTTAACAACACCCACCAGGGAACACACTGCCCATAATACCTTTCTATGGTGGCTGTGAGTAAGAGGGGCTTCCATCACTTATGGGAGATAAAGTCCATCCTCCAGCAAGATAGATGGCACATGCCATCTTCAGAGAGTGACACTTAGCCATGTGAGAGGGAGCAGGATGCAAAGAGACGAATGGATTATATCCGCACTACCTAAATTCAAATTCAAATTATATCTCTTACTATGTCCGACTGGAAAAAAAAATAATCACCTCTCAGAGTCTCAGTTTCTTCCTTTGTAAAATAAAGACCATAACCCAGTGCCCACCTCAAAGACGAGTGGTGTGGATTAAAGAAGTCAATACCCATGAGGTGCTTTACAGTGACACTTGACACGTAATAGGTCTATGCAAGCGTTTGCACTTCCTGTCTATCCATAAAAGATCCTGGCATAGAAAGGGGCATAGCCCGAGCAAGTGGTCCAGAAGCACTCACTCTCAGAGTACAAATGGGCTTTGGAATCTCACTGTGTGATCCTCATCGAGATGTCTCAAGCCTCTAAACTTATCTCCTCGGCAGTAAAGTGGAAATTATAGTATCTACTTCATAAGCAGTAAGATTAGTGGGTGAGCTGAAGATGCTGTTGGAGAGAGAAGAAAACGGCACAGGGGACAAAGGGCTGATATTTCGAGGCTTTGGACAAAGCAGACTCACATTAGCACTCAGCTGATTTAATACTACAGGTGAGCCATTTCATTTATCTCAAATAAGAAAAGGAAACTAGATCCCAAGCCTGGGAACACAAAAGTTTATATGAGAGTCAGGGCTGCGGTGGAGGGGGTGTGTTAAGAGAAGAGGCTCAGCAGACTGCCTCAGGGTACCAAATGCAGCAAGGCAGACAAAATAGAAGCAACCCTTTCTTTCCCAGCTCCGAATCTTACAAGGGAAAAGGTACCAACCAAGACAAGGAACAGTAAGCAGCCCCAGCACACTATAAACTAAAATTCAGAAGTTAAACCATTTAGCAATTAAAGTTTGCTCCCATTTTCTGTGCTACTTAAATGTAAGTGTTTAAACACCATCCCGATGTTATATTCACACAAGTGTTTAAACACCCTCCAAGTGTTTTCAGAAATAGAAGTGTGCCAACTCTGTATGCTTGCCTACTCCTCATTCTTGTGGGAAAAGGATGTGATTTTGGAAAAGAGATTATCAGCACTGTGAATCTAAGGTGCTAGGAGCTCGGAAGATTCACAAGACTGCCTCAAGGGAGGAAGCGCTTTTCCTACAAGGGTCGCAATTGTTTTTGCTATGCTCTTACTTAGGACATTTCTGTACTAGGAGAAAATAGTGTTTTATGAGCTCGGTGTCAGAACTCGATAGAAATGTCATAGAATGTCTTAGAGTGCCATAGAAAAAATAAAGGGACAAGCAAATCAAGCAAATATTTATGCAAGGTGAATCTGACAAAAACTACTTTCAACAATGGCCAGTAAGAAGCTGGGTTAGAAAATATGTTTTGTATATAAAATATGATCTTGGTGTAGGGTAATATAGTTCAGTGGTAGAGTAGACGCTTGGCATGCAAGAGGTCCCAGCAACAAAAACTGTAACAATCAGAATGACTTTTCCCTTCTTGATAGTAACCACAGATTCATCCCCCAAGTCAAAAATCAATAACAAAAATGCAAACTTCGTTTAGAAAAATGATACAAAATCATAGACTGTGATCACTTTCTGACATACCCCCTTCCTAGAGTTCCCCAGTATGAACCGAGGTTTGGCAGAAAGAGGAATGAAGGATGTGTCTTCCGCAGAGAGAGAGAGAGAGAGAGAGAGAGAGAGAGAGAGAGAGAGAGAGAGAGAGAGAGAACACTACATCTTGCCAGCCTCCAGCCCCCAAGAAGGTACAGGCCTCATCTCAACAATGCCTGCTCCGACCCCTACACCAAGCCCTTTTTCCTGACTGAGGAGGGGACCAAGGTCTTCACTCCTGGGAACCGGTCCAGGAACAACAGCGACGACACTCTAGCATTCGGCAGGAAGGATGTCTGTGGCTTGTTGCCACCACTCCCCTTAATGGAAGAGCCTTCCAGCAGGGAGTACGAGCAAATCCTGAGTACTGGTGATTTGGTCCCACTGGGACTGTGGCCTCCGCATAGCAGGCTGACCAGTTCAGGACCCCTTTCTAGCTAGGGAGAGAGAAAAGGCATTGTGTTCCTCTCTATACCTTGGGCATATATTTCTCTCCCTCTTGCCTGAAGAAGATGATGTGGAATCCAAGATCCGTTTAGAAATGATGGGATTTTCACACCAAATAGAAAAGTTTCCAAAATCTGAGCACTCCAGCGAGCAACAGAAGAAGGGCCCAGGTGTTGTGCCTCGGTACAGACCAGCACCTGAGACCCTAGGATGCTCCTCTGCACTGCAGGCTCTGGGGTCTAGAGCAAGGATGAGCCCCTCCTCCACCTGAGGGACTGGAGGTCCCCAGGCGCGGCCATTCCCCCACCCAATCTCCCAAGACAGAAGCTTTTCCTTCCTTCATTACCTCACTGCCTCCTTCCCTTGACGTCAGCCTCCCGGAGCCGAGTGGCGGGAGGATGGGGAAGGGTTTGGGGCAGTCGGTGTCAGGATCCCTGCAGTACGAGGGGCGGGGGAGGAGGAGGCGGGGGGGGGGGAATGGAGCGGTGAGGTAATGCGCACCCAATCCTCTGCAGTCAAGACGGCGCAAAGCCACCTTCTAACGGACCGGTGTGTGTGCTTCGCAGTTACTAAGCAACCCTATCTGAGACGCGGGATGCCGGCCAAGTTCACCCAAAGTTGAAGAATAAATTTGGGGGAGAAACGGTGGAGAGTGGAACTTAGAGACCAGAGAAGGGGGAGGAAGCAGAGCTTTGTTGAGGGAAAAAGTGTGTGTGTGTGTGTGTGTGTGTGTGTGTGTGTGTGTGTGTGTGCAGATGTCTCCCTGATCACCTTCTCAAAGGGTCTCGTCCCAGAGCTCACACAAGGCTGCCCCAAACTACGTCCACAGAACCCTGGCACAGGCCAAAACACTAGAGGGGAAGGGTTAGAGGAAGGATGTGGCCCACATTAGGCCCACTGGCCCCTGTGGCCAGTTGGTGCGGGAAGGCTTTAAACAAAAGGATGCAGTGGGAAAGAACTTGGTCTCCAATTTTTGGTCCTGGGGAAGTTAAAGTGCTCCCAGAAAAGACTATTCAGAAATAAATCGTGACCGGGTATGGTGACCCACGCCTTTAAATCTCAGAACTCGGGAGAGAGAGACAGGCGGATCCCTGAGTTCGAAACCAGCCTGGTCTACAGAGAGAATACCAGGACAGCCATGGATACAGGGAACAATTCTGTCTCGAAGAATCAAAGAAAAGAAATAACCCGAGAAGGCCACAGCTTCCTTTTTTATCTCCAAACATGAAGGTCTTCATTTATATGTAAAGCAAATTTATATCCAAAGCACTTGCTTTGAGTGTCTGGGTCGGGTACAACAGGCTTTCTTCGCCTCCCGCAGTCAGCGATGGTCAGGGTCTAGCGTTTCCTCACCGCCCGCTCACTGGACCTCCAGGGTCACCACAAGACACAATTGTGGTGCTCGGCACCTTCTTACCTGCTGTAGGGCGTCCTCAGCAGCAGGGCCTGGCTGCCTGTGCAGCTGTCCGAAGGGGTGTGGCAGCCATACACCGGGGGCGGCACCGAATATTGCTGCTCGCCTGCCAGAGAGCCAAGGACAGCAGTGAGCGGGACTCGAGAGCGTGAGGCACCGGAGGCAGTTCAAGAGAGGGGGGGGGGGGGGAACGGGGAGCTTGCTGAACTTCGGACTATGAGGGGCCTGGAGCCAGCCCTGGGATGGCGGCAAGGCAGCTCTCAATTGAGGGGACGAAAAATTCCTCACTTTAGGTTGCGTTGCAGTCACTGTCTGGCATTGGTTGCCTTGTTTGAGTGGCACTTTCCCGTAACTTACTTGGAATGGAAGGAGCTACCATCTTTTAAATAGAGTAAAGCCAGCGATTATTTCTAGGATCCCTTCAGCTATCCTCTATTCCCTTCCCCAGTTTGCTAAGGCTTAGGAATCCGGTAGGAAGGGGTGGAAGAATGAAGGCAGCGGGTAAAGACCCGCATCTTTCCCATCCACTTACCCAGAGAGCCCTGCTGGCTCATGGGGTCCTCGTGTTTGAAGGAATGGTTGGGAAACTGCGCCGCGTGGTGCGAGGGCGTGTGGCCATAGCTGGGCGCCCCGTCGAAAGTGACTGTGCTGTATCCTGAGAACCGGCCGAAAGAAATACAGAGACAGTCAGGCTCCTGAAAAGGCAGACGCATTGGTGCGACTTTGGCAGCGGGTACCTGATTCCAGAATTCGCAGAAAATGGTTCCCACCCCTCCGTCTAGGACTTCAGGCTTGAGGCAGGGACCAAACTCTGTGGTGTAACCTTATCCGACCCCTTTTCCCAACTAAAATCCCAAGCTCCTCAATTCTTCTGCGCCTCAATTAGGCTCTATCCAGCAATGAATAGAGCCTCCAGCAAGTTAGGTGCAAAAACCGTCGCCCGCCTGGCAGAGAAGTTGTCTTTCTGAAAAACAAACAACGCCGCCGCTGCGTCGCTCGCGCAGGGGCGACTCCGCTCAGAGGACTGAGTTTCCTGAGCTGACCCCGCTTTGACTCAGGGCTGTAAATCAGAACCCCAGCACCAACTTTCATTAATTACTCGGAGGCAGTTCAACGGTCTGCGCTTTAAACGCGGAGAGTAATTACAAGGGCACGTTTCCTCACGTTACCTCTCCGGGAAACACAGCCTGACGCCGAGACACCCAAAGCCTTTAGGAAAGCTTGTAGCAGTGGAAAGAAAGGATCTCTCCAGTCTTTTCCCCCTCCCACGCCCACCTGGGGCCCCACTGCGGTACAGACTAACCTTCTTGCCCTACAGACCAGACCGGAGCACCTACTTCTTTTAATTCTCCTTACCTGTCCCTGGGTAGCAGTAGCTCAGTTGCTTGCCTCAATTTGCCTTCTGAGAAACAGAGGCCGGTGCTCTTTCCTATCACTCAAAGGGATGAAAAGCAATACATATGGAGTTTTGGAAATCTTAATCTTGTGTGATATTATTACTAGATTTCTATAAACACATATTCCACCTGTTTTTGTCAAAGCTCAAGTTAGTGCAAGAAGGGGCATCTTAAGAATCCTCCCAGGGACTTTATGTGGGTGGGGCCTCCCCCTCCTGTGGTGAAGCTTGGTAGAGGGAGCCCGGACTGGCAGAACAGACTGAAACTGGCTCCCTACTGCGCAGTCTCTAAAACCCGAAAGCTCTTAGAATCAAGGTAAAACCAAGTTCCCACTCTTGCACGGTTGACCAAGGCTCTTCTATAAGAGGTCGCCGAGATAATTCACTCAGTACAGAGACAGGAGGGCGGTTATCTCCAACTTCACACACTACCCAAAGGAAAACCCGAGCTTCTATCGGGATCACTTCAGAGCAGTAAGCATACACGGTCCAGGTTGAGGTGTTTCACAGCAAAGGGAATGAGGCACCATGGGAATTGCTAGTTACATGGCCTGGGAAGGAAGTCTTGAGTGCCCCAGAGCTCTGGTTAGCGAATGAGGAATCAGCCTGCTTCTCAACCTGGGTGAGCCCAGAGTGCCTCATTTTTCTTCCTGTGAAGTGAGGAAAGATAATCCCCAACCCTAATAGCTCTTGGGTGTGGATCAATAAGTACATTTGGCCTTCCAGAGACTTCCTTTCGAAAGAAAAGGTCTGGCCCCACTTGAGGCCTAAAGTTTACAAACGAAATACGGGTCTAGGCACCGACCCGAGTTTTCCTAGAGAAATGAGGAGTCTGTGAAAAAAGGGCTTAAATAAAAACAAAAACAAAACAAAACAAAACAAAAAAGGGCGAGGGAGGAGGTAACAATAAAGAAAGTTCTCTAAACGAACCCTTCTCCATTTCTGAACGGAGCAGCCAAAGACCTAAATCACGCACAATCTGAGACCCGAGGCTCAACCGCTGGTAGCGAGAGCAGCTGGGGCCAGGCTGCAGTTCCCACGCTGGGGACCTCGGCTCCGGCTCCCGAACTCCGACTTGAGACTGCGGGCGTCTGGCAAGGCTCCCTACCCGCCACCCGCCTAGTCGCCTAGTCGTAGTTGAAACCCGCAGACCTCGGCGGGCAGCAGCAACCTTGAGCCCCTCCCCCGGGGCTCCTGGGAGGGGCAGCGGTGAAAGCGGTGGGACCGTCGGGAGGGAGAGCTCTTTTAATTAGAAGCTTATCGGAACCGGGGCTGATTAGGAACCCTCTGTACCCGGACTGAGCTGAGCCCAGCTCGAAGAGGGCGGGAGTGGGGGCCGGGGGAGAGCCTGCTGACTCTGAGAAGTATCAAGAGAATTCAAAGGGTTCTTGTCCAAGCCTTGGAGGGAGAGGCCCTCGAAGCCAGGGTATCCACTTTCCCACGTTTGGTCTGGACCAGGGAGGGAAGAGTAACCTTGAAGTCGCGGGAAGGAGAGTTGCGCCCTGAGCGCTCCTCCCCTTGCCTCTACTGCGGAGGAGCCCGGAACAGCCTGGCCCTGAGAAGCTCTGGGGGAGATTCTACAGCGGGATAAGCCTAGAAGGTGTTCGGGGAAAACGAAGCTGCCACGGGATAGATGGAGTCCTCACTCCCACCCAACTACTGTCTTTGATGTGACCGGAGGGGGGCGCTTTTGGCCCCATCACAGCTGGTCCGATGAGCTTCGGAAGGGTAGTAATCCCTTGGGCCTAGGATCACCCTGAAGTGAGCACTAGCGGGCCTGAGGGCGGGGTAGGGGTCAGAAACTGACTGACAAGCCCCCATTGGGTCCAGACTAGGAAAATCCTTGTCCTCAATCCTCGGTCCTGACAGACTTTCCAACCATCTCACGCTCATAATTTGTCAGGGCCTATTCAACTGGGCAGAGAAAATCCATTTCAACCACGAGCCAAAATTTCTGGGAGAAAACAGGAGAGAAAAAAATGTGGGTTCAAGTCCTAGCTCTGCCAAGACCTAAGAGGCCTCTTGAGTCTAATCTCCTAGTGCCTGGATTTCGTCATAAAGTTCTACAAGGCTCCTTCCTTCGCTCCCAGGCTATGCACTTCTTGTAAAGGTGTCTGTAGCCGTTAGCTGTCTATAGTCAATCTACACCAAGTAAGGTTTTGGTGTTTGCTCAATTGTTTAGACGATCAGGACAACGGCTTTATAAGAAATGGGGGGGTGTCCTTATAAAATCGAGGAAGGGATGAATGAGCGCCATAGTTGGGCTCCGGGGTTTGTGCACAGGTAAATAGAGACGGCAGGAGTTCTTCTCCGCAGTGAAGCCCTTGGAGTCTGAGCAAAGCGCACTGATGTCATTCTCACATTTCCCAGGACAGCTGGCACCTCCTAATCAAAACCCCAAACTAAATACCACATTGTTGAAATGATTCATAGGAACTCCAAAAGAAAAAGTAATGAATATTCAAAGAATCTCGGACCTCGGACCTCAAGGGTTTGCTCTAGTTGACCACAGGAGTTGGGGCGGGAATGGGAGGAGGGGATATCTGCTTCACAGTTTCCCCCACTTCAGCTCCTAGCAGCAGCTGAGGGAGCCCATAGACTGATCCTGTACAACCCACTTGCTTTAACTAGAATAGAAAAAGGTGAGTTTCCTGACAGGAACCTGCTTCCAGGTTATGACCCTTCCCTGAAGACATCCCCACCAGGAGCCTTTTCTTGGTCGATTTGAGAAGAGCAGAGCGTGGTGGGGAGGCTTCACCTGCTGGTCCTGGGCTTCAGCTCCTAATTCCTTTCTTCAGTAGCAGCCAGAAGGGTCTACTCCAGAAGAATCTAGACGCCCACCCCCCAAGACTAATGGTAATGCTCTCGGGCTTTAAATTCTGAGTCCCACCCACCTTCTACTATGGGCTTCTACGGACTTGCAGTGCAGAATGCTAAGCACGCCCCACCCCCATACACTCAAAGCAGCAATAGAAGGACTAATAAAGATGGTGGCATATTAGTATTTGCTCCCCAGAGGAATAGGTCAGTGAGTGCCTCCAAGCAAGCATGCTCACTGAAGTCGCACACATGCCTGACAGTGGCATGATTTCTGACCCAGGGAGCTTTGGGAGGGCTGTGTTTCTGTATTTAGAGCCCCATCAGGCGTCCTTGTGTTTGGCGTGTAACTTTCGGCCTAACCCATGTCAGCTCTCCTCTTAGGCAGTCAGCAAACTGACCTGGAGATGTGCCAACGGTAACACCTGCCTTCTAGAACGTGATGGCGAGGGTCTGAGAGCCTCGGCAAAGACACCGATTCTTCCAACTGACTTGTACAAAACATCAATTTCATTTATGAAAGATCTAGAAGGAAAGGACTCCCTAAGTCCGCTCCAGGTGGCTCCTTGAATTCAGGAGCTCCCATTCTTCAGTGGTTTCGGTTTCGCTAGAGCTTCGGGTGGCTGAGGTGCTGCCAGGATGGGTTCAGAAGGCCCGGAGAACCCTCCCGCACCTCCCGCACGCAGTACCGGCCCTGCTTTCCCCTTCCCACACACTTCAGAAACACCCAGACCAAGGACAGCAGAATTGCTGGTTCAAGAAAAGCATCCGCCTCTGTGTTAGTAAATGGTTTCCCAAAACATTTAATCAAACCAAATTAGATTCCCAACAGAAATCAAATAAGAACAACCGAGGAAAAGTACAGTGGCTCAGCAACCATGGCTCCTCCAGGGTGCTAACGAAGGAGAGGTGTGGGGGAGAGTTAGAAGATAGACCTACATTGGCTCAAGATCGCCAATACACTTGCTCTTGTTCCACTGTCCCAAGTCTTACAAACCTTCCCCAACCTAACCTGTGTGTGTGTGTGTGTGTGTGTGTGTGTGTGTGTGTGTGTGTGTGAGAGAGAGAGAGAGAGAGAGAGAGAGAGAGAGAGAGAGAGAGAGAGAGAGAGAGATTAGGAGCATCCTAGACGCTCCACGGATTTGGTTCCTTATAGATTGGAGTCGGACCAGCCAGGCTTTCTTGCATGGCTCGTTGCGTGGCCTGGAGAAATTCCTAGTGCTGACATGGTCCCTCAAATGTTAAACCTTAATTCCAAAACTCCCTTCTGCCTTTGGTGGGCCTAAAGTGAGCCAGCGCATATAGAAAACTGGAGGTTCTTGGGATTTAGGCCTGTCAGAGGCATCACTAGGGGATCCCTAAGCGCTGATCTGACTCCAATGTCTTCTAAGTCCGTCTGCCCTAGACGTCTAAAAGGGCCGGTGCCTGGTGATAATTTAGTGAGGCACCAGACATTTCCCCAATATAGATCCACACGCTACAACCAATCCCCTCTTAGCTCTTCCCGTGGAATTCCCGAATCTTTCAGGAACCCTGGGACCCTAGATGTCCTCCCGGGTATTGCGAACTATCGGACTCTGGAGTCCTGTTCAGCTGTGTGTGTGTGTTAGCACTTCACAGAGTCCACGGTCCCCTGTCCAGGCACCCATTACTTTGATTCCTTGGGAAGGTAGTTGGGATCAGGAAGGAACAGCAGAGGGGAGAAGCCGCGTGGGACTAGGACTCCAAGCGGCAGCAGTGCGTGCAGGGCGGGCCGTCCTTACCTTGGTTGCGGATAGTGGACTGGCTCTCCAGGCAGCTGGGCAGGTAGGGCGCATTGGGGAACATCCTGGCCTGGCCGGAGGACGCCTGGCTGGGCGGAGGAGGACCGAAGGGTCCGTAGCGACAGGCCCCGGCTGTACCGGTGAACTGGCCAGAGAAGTGCAAAGTGAAGGCGCTCAGACATTGCTCCTCGTGCGGCTCGGCGCCGCCCCAGCTGGGCTCCTGTTTGATGAAGGAGTGGGGTGGCGGCGGAGGTGGCGGCGGAGCGGGCGGAGGCGCGGGACCGCCCAGCGACCCGTAAGCCGAAGCACCCGGAGGCGCGAAGTCCAGCACCGGCGCCCACTGAGCAGCGCCGCTCACAGGGAGCCCGCAGCCGCCGCCACTGCCCAGCGAGGACACCGCGGGCAGGAGCGCGTTCAGGTCCCGCACGTCGGAACCCATCAGCTGCGGTTCGGACCCGGACGGCCCTCCGCTCCTACGATTCTGCGGGCTTTGGCCACTGGACTTGGCCCAGGTGCTGCGGGGGCCTCGATTCCCCGGCTGCTCCTGCTGCTGAAGACACCCGGGCTCTCGGAGGAGCGTGTGCTGAGACGCCGGCTCCGGGACACACGTGGAAGCCGACTCCTGCGACAGGAGGAAGTCCAGGATCGCGGCGAGGAGGCGGCGGGCCCGGGTCCCAGGGCTGCCGTCCTCGCTCTGGGTGGGTGGGTGAATGAGTGGGTGGGAGGGAGGGCGGGAAAGGGAAAGGGGGAGCAGGCAGGGGATCCGGTTGCGGAGAGCCCCCCGGGTGTGGGCGCTGCCTTGAACTCCTTACCCCAGCTGCCTGGCTGCCCCCCGCTTCCCAAAGCTCAAATAAGAGGGGCCGGCAGCGGGGGAAGGAGGAGGAGCCAGGATGCTCGGCCGCTCCATTCACACAGCAGCCCTAGCCTGCCCCAGCAGCACGCCGCTCGTCCGGGGTACTCGTAGCGGGGGTGTGGGGCGGGCCCGAGGGAGCGTTCATCTCAGAGACACCCTCCTCTCTAGCCCACCACGTGCTCTCAGCTGGCCTGTGTAGTAAACCTCCCCCTTGCCTTCCCAGCTGGCCTTCCCGAGTGTAGGCGCTTTAAGGCAAGGCGTTCTAGGTAAGCAGTGTGTCCCCCTCGAAGCGTCGGTTCGAGGTGGGAGTAGAGACGGGGCTGTAATTCAGAGAGGGTGGGGTGGAGGGAGGGGCAGGTGGGCTCCAAGAGGGCGGGAACCAGAGGACCCAGAGATCTCTCCAGAGTTCTGAGGAGTATAAACCAACTTTGAGTCTTGTGCCCGCCCACGTCCAGAACCCTGGAGCCTAACCTCGGGGTCACTTTAGGAGGTCGGTTCCTATGGGTTCAAAGGTTGGGATTCAAGGTGAAATTGTTCGGGATGGTAATTGTGAAGTGTGACGTCAGTCGTGACAAGCAGGACGGTTTCAGTTGTCTGGTAATTAATTCTTTGGTGAGGTTGGAACCCGGAAGGCGGTTGCTGTCTGCCGAAAGTCTGCGTACCCGCCCTTTCCAGCAACGAGTAGCTGATAGACCTTATAGCAACTGGGGGAAACTGTAGCTGGTTTTTGTTGTTGCTTGTTTTTCTGTGGTGGTGTTCTTGCAGAAATGCCGAGAACCAGCTCGGATTCTGGTGCGAACGCTCTGGGGCCACGTTGTGAAGGAAACGGACAGGCTGTGGCCAGGAAACCAACAGGGAGAGTGTGATCCAAAGCTACTTGGCCAATCAAGGCTTCCTCTAGTGTTGAGGGACCCATTACCGACCTGCGGTGATTGATCAGGGGCTACCAACCAGTCGGGAATGCTCCACTGGCCTGTGGCTATGGAGTGTTCGCACCACTGGGAGAATTCCCAGAGAACGGCTTCTCCGAAACAACCCTTCCCTCCACCTTGTAGCCGTTTGGGACTCCCGTGCCTTAGAACAGGTGTTTGGGGGTTAGTTTAGATTGGTTTAGGTCTTCTAAAATAGTGGCATCTATGGGGTGGGAGACAACCTGTGAACAAAGAGAAGCCCGCGGGTCGCTGAGTGAAGTGGGTTTCAGGCAGACTCCGGGAGTCTTGGAGGCACCGGCATGGCTCAGTCTGGGACTGCCAGGCGAGGGGAGGGAAGCGGCCGGCTGCACTTGGGCTCCCAGAATAGGGATGAGGCTCAAAACTTTCCAACAAAACCTACTAAGCAGAGCTCAAGGATACTGACCACGAATACGAAGAAACCTAGCGTTTCAATGGCCTTAGTGTATTCTCCAATTGCTGCACGTTGGTTTTAATTCGCATAGATTCATAAATTCAAAATCGCCGGGAATTATGATTTGGAACCCGGAGTGCCCGTGGGCTCAGAAAGTATTGCCATATGCAATGACCCACCCCTCTTGGGGTTGCACAATCTGTATAGGTAAAGAAGATCCCAAGGGAACCGTTGCTACCCCTTCACTTTCACCGTGGTAAACCCTGCGCAAGCTGCTTTGGAATTTTCACTGATTTGTGGTAGATCAGAAGCTCCCCCTCTTCTTCTTCTTCTTCTTCTTCTTCTTCTTCTTCTTCTTCTTCTTCTTCTTCTTCTTCTTCTTCTTCTTCTTCCTCTTTCTCCTCCTCCTCCTCTTCCTCTTCCTCCATCTTCGTCGTCTTTTTCTTCTTTTAAAGAAATGCAGGGCCCTCAAAAAGCTTCTCCCTACACCCTGCCCTCTCTTCCATTCTCTATGCCTAAACATGTAACAGGGTGCAGGACCATAGTTCTTTTTGGTGGAGACAGAACTTTGCGACAAAACTCCCCAAGTCAAGCTGACCCTGCCACCCCACTCCCCTGCCCCCTTCCCCTCCTCCTGGCCTCTTATTTCTACTTCGAAGTCATTTTCCTTAACTTTAACTCCTAGGGAATGGAAGCCCTTCACGAAGAGCTGGGGATTCATTACCAAAGGGAAACGGAGCTAATTTTCTCTTTTAGTCGCCTGCAGAATTTCGCGGGGAGGGGGTATGGATGTAAGCGCTGTGTAGAGAGGCCATTTGATGTGAGCTAGGGAATAAGAATGACACACCTCTGCCTCCCTGTTTAAATTTTTCCGTTGTGCCTGGGGGTGGGTTGTTGAGAAAGAGGTGGCATACAGATACAGACCCGCGGAAAGTTTTTTGATCTCCTCTGTCATTCTTTTTCCCCAAAATTTTTGAGAGAGAACCCAGGCGATGTACGATTAATTCTTCATTTCAACCCTAGGGTACTCTCTCGCCCTAACTTCTCCCAGAATGAAAGCGGTGGAAAGTTCCCAGCCAAGCGGGAAGGGGAAGCTGCATCACAGGTGGAGGCCCTCTGGTTAGATTGGACACACCTGAGATACCCCCACCCACCCCATGTCTAGAAGCCCAAGCACCGGTAAGCCAGTACTCTGGCACTAGCAAACCTTTGGGTCCTAGGAGATCCCATTCCTCCCACATTCCACCTTTCTCCTCGGGGTAACCGTTTTTTACCAGAGTCCTGAGGTTCCCCCAACAGATGCCATACTACATGGACTTGGGTGACCAGCGCTGACTGTGAGAACTACGGACAGCCTGGCCATGGGGTGTCGCACCTGCTGCCCACCCTGAACCTCCTTCACCGGGGTTCCAGAAAAATGAAGGGCCCGGAGAACTATAAGTTTCCTATGCTCTTTCTTTTTCCCACCACAATGGCGCAAAGACTCAGGCCTGGAGAGGATCGCGTTCTCAACTTTCTGTCCTTAGGTAAAGCCTGCCGATTCAACTCAAGCCAGCTGAGGAAACTGAGGCGCAACCGAGGTAGGAAAAGCAAGCTGCTGTGGTTTGGAGCAAGGATTGGTGTCTTGGAGAATGCGATCTCACTGTCATCTGTAACCAACAGTTTCTTGGGCCACATGAGTTCTGTAATATTTTTGAGCCTCCATTTCCTTATTGGTGGTCAAAGGAGAAAATATTGAGAGTAGCGACCCACCTTTCGGGGTTGAAGACGAATTATATAGGAAGGTAGTGTTCTATTTGCTCTAAAAATCTCTGGGCTTTGAGACTGATTTTGTTCAAAGACGTATACAAAGATTTTTGGTCAAGCTTAAGCAAAACCAGAACTTTCAATATCCGATTCGTTCAGGGGTGGTTTAAACCACTGTCTCTGCTTCCTTAGTACTGCTGAACTATGGAAGACAAGAGAGACCTTGGCGGTCTATGTGGCTTCAATCGTGGACAAAGTGTACCCATCTCGTCTTAAACGGCGCATCATTATTACAAGATTAAAACATCGCGTCTAGGTGAGGTGGGGAGCCAAGATCTTTCATCCCAGGGCTGTCAACTGCGTCTGGCTGAGTTCAGAGCCCAGCCGCTGCTGTGGCCCCAGGGACTAGTGCGCACGCCAGGGCCGCAATCCGGCTGGTCACTCGGCGGCTGTTGACAATTGAATAAACAGCCGGAGCCCTGGGATCCGTCAATGGCTGAAGCCGCCTGCCCTCACCCAGGGCCAGAGAATGGCGTGAAGGGTGGCCCGACCTCCAAGCTACTAATCATCTCAACCGCTGCCCTTGGGCCAAGTGTCCTGAGCCCCAAGAGCAGGACAACAGCGCTCTCTTTCCCAGCGTTTCTAAGACAGCAGTCTGTCTAGGGCTGCGGGGAAGGCGCCTGGAGCGCAGTTTCCGGACTGGCATAGCTGGCAAAAAACATAGCTTCATTTTGCAAATAAAAGAAAAACGTAAACATCGCAGTGCCTTTTGTGACACAACCCACCCTTAGGCTTCTTTCATTTGAAAACTGTCTCGATTCTTTATTTCCTTTTTTTTTTTTCTTTAACCAACCTCACCTCTGGGCTTTGAACTCTCCTCCCTGGATTGGTTAAGGGGCTAGAACCGCCTAGCGCTGCCTGGTGCGAGATGCAAAATTTGCCCTTTCCCCCAGTTCGTGGTGCCTAAATCCAAAGTGTTTTGACGCCACCGGTTCCCCAGCTTCCAAAGAGCCCCCAATGAAAGGATTCAGCAGCGCAGCCTCTATTATTATCCCGTAAATCTTTTTAAATTCTGGAACTAATTATATAGAGGATATGTCTCAATTTGTTCTGCATTAATGCCACAGTGAGGATGGAGACCAGGCCGTGGCCAGAGCAGATATGCAAGCCAATGAAATTGATGAACTGAGAGGTGCTTCCAGTCCAGAGCGCACCATCTGGAATTCCAGTCTGAGGTTACAATTAGAACTCCTGACCCCAGATTCAACTTTGCAAGCAATGGGAAGAAGTGGGGGGGGGGGGAAGAAGAAGAAGAAGAAGAAGAAGAAGAAGAAGAAGAAGAAGAAGAAGAAGAAGAAGAAGAAGAAGAAGAAGAAGAAGAAGAAGAAGAAGAAGAAGAAGAAGAAGAAGAAAACTTATTCGACACCTGTTTTTAAAGAAAGACTTAAACTCTTCCCATCTGAGAAAATTCTTTCAAAGTACTTGTTTCTGCGTTTTTAACCTATTCTAGGCAGGATTTCATCTCATCCCCTTCCCTCCAGGCTACCCTCTGCCACTTTTCTGTCCGCAGTGGATTTCACGAGATAGGAATGAATTATTCCTCAGAAAATTAGCTTGGTAAATCTAAATATTACTTTGTGATTTCCCTTTGATAAGTAGCATAATTACAGAACTGCACGTGAACTAGGAGCCCTCTCTCTCTCTCTCTCTCTCTCTCTCTCTCTATCTCTCCTTCCCTCCCTCCACGGCCTTTTCTTCAGCTTAACTTTAATCAGAGATTTTATTTGTGTTGTAGTTTTATTTGAATTCTAAATCCAGTAGAAGAATTTCTTCTTCCCGTTTGTAATGTGCTCTTTTATTTTTCTCTCACCTTGACTCCCTGAAGAATCGAAGGACCAGGCAGTACTGGGGAATCTGTTAAATTTATTAGCATAAATGCCTAGACAAAAAGAGTTATAAATCATTGTGATGGATTAAGCCGTAAAGTATTGCAATGAAGTCAGCCCCTTGCCAGGGCACTGGTATAAATGCTCATATAAAACACGGTATCCCTACTCACACTCAGCCTGAGTGCATGATGTAAGAATATGCAAATGCTGAATTCGGAGTATGGAAGGTTGTTAGAGGCAAGGGTTTAGCCTTGTTTGGGCTTCCGGTCTGTGACAGAGATAGACAGTCTGCACTTCAGTCTTCAACAGAGTTGGGTTTCCGATTTTTGTTTGTTTAGGGGAGGGGCGTGTAGAAAAAATCTACAAGATATGTTAGTGGGGTGGGAAGTGCAGAGGGGAAAAAGAATCAGTGTTTTCCTAAGATCTGTCAGCTTCATAAAAATCTATTAGAAAGGGCCCTGTGCTTCTGCAGGTAACAGCCTTCAGGGAAGAGCCACCTGGGTCTGCCTCTGCTCCTCTAGCCGGAAGAGGGGTCTGTTCACTGGAGGTGGATGAGGAAGGAGTGGTGGGGAGGGAGACTGACGGAATTCTCAGCAGAAGTGTACCAAGACAGAAATCAGACACACTGAGCCAGCAAGAGGGCTTAGCTGGGCGAGGTCCTTAGTGCCAAGCTTGGCAACCTGAGTTCTGTCCCTGGAATGCGAGGAGAAAACCAACTCTGGGAAAGTTGTCTGACTTCCACACACGGGTGCTGTGGCATGCACCCACCCCGCCCAACACACACACACACACACACACACACACACACGATTAAATCATCTTTTAGTAAACAAACAGTTCAATGAGCCAGCTGAGAAAAGTGTTCTCAAGATTTTCTTTAAATCAAGTTGTTACCAGAAAAAAGGGACACTCCCGTCCATCCTCAAAGATGAGAGTATGCCCATCTTTCTGGTAGCATCCATTCATGTACCCCATAGTGACTATGCATTGGCACTCACTTGTCTGCCAGCATTGTAGTAGAGACTTGGAATTCATTAGGACAGGACAGCCCTCGGGGACCATCTGGTCCAGGAGGCTTAAATACTGTAAAGGATCAGGACTGGACAATTGGAACCACCTAGAGCCCTCATTTCACCTTCTGCCCTGCATGAATGCATTCAGCAAGTATCCTATCCTACTCACAAATAGAGGGGGTTTGAAGAATTTGGAAAACTAAGTCTAGGAAAGTCTCTACACAGCCTGCACAGCCCTATAGAATTAGTAACAGTTACCGAGGTAGAACTCAGGCAAATAACCCCTGCCACCAGGCAAGCGATTTGGAAAAACTTAGTTTTCCTGTCTTCAAGGAAAAAAAAAATGAGATCCTGACCCACTACTGTTGTGAAAAGTAGATGCGGGGAAGGCGTGGCCATTTCTTAGCCCCTGGAAAGCCCTCCTAAAGTATAGCTGTTCTTTATAAAGATGTCTATACTTTGGCCTGCTTTGCTTGTTATTAACTGGCACATTCTAGCTTAGAAGTATGAGTTAGAGCAGAGAAAAAGACAGGAAGCAAAAACTTTATTAACCTTAGTCAAAAGTGGCCATTTCAAAGGAAACTGAAATTAGTTCTAAAACAGGAAATAGAGGGCTTTTATTTCCAAATGGGTAACTCCAAGACTAGAAGGTCACATAGTCCTGTAAGAGCTGGGGTTGCCTTGACTCTATAGTCAGACATCAAGTGCAACCGGCATGTCCACAATGATAAAGAACTCAGAGCCAGGTATAAAAACAGGAAATGCTAGACCTGCCTCTGCCAGTAGTCAAGGCCTTGAGGAGCCAATGAAGGGCCCTCCTATTTCAGCACTGTTATCTGTAAATGAGAGTGATAATAAAAACCCAAAGTGTTAGACAGTGCAGAGGACCAGCATCTGCTGCATGTGGACATGAGAAAAAGAAAACCACGTACTACACGTGTATGTGGAGACAAAAGGTCCACACTGCTGTCTTCTTTGGCCACTCCCCACTTTATTTTTGGAGACAGGGTCTCTCCTGAATGGACATTCAGTGATTCAGCTAGAATAGCCGACTGGCTTTGAGGCTCTACTGTCCCCCCCCCAGGACTAGTGTGACAGGCAAGCCTCACGATGCCAGGCTAGTTTACATGGGTGCTGAGAATTGAAACTCAGGTTCCTTGTGCTTTCACAGAAAGCCCTTTACCGAGTGAGCCATCTTCTCAGACTCGGCCATTGCATCTCTAGACGTGAGCATGGTGCCTTCCTCACGAGACAAGCGAAAGAAAACATACCCGTGACTTTTCCGAACACCCAAGTGGATGTCACCGTGGCTGGGATAGTGATCCTTCTTTGGGCCTTCTTCTTTCTGAAGCTTAGAGTCTTCCACTGACAGATTTTTACCATGCCAGGCCCTGTTAAATCTGAAACAGCAGGTCTTTCGGGCCAGGGTTAAGTCCTCCTACGCTCCTACTTCCTGACTCGGGGTGACGTCCATATTCTCAGAACCATCATTTTCCTGACTCTGAACAGGAGCGGATGATAGAACCGCTCCATAGACTTCTTTAGGACAAATTAATACAGCCATGAAAAAAAAATCGTTATGATTTGTTTATACTTTTTACACGATTCTTAGCAAAGGAAAAAAAAACTAACAAATGATAATTGAATGATGGAACAAACGAGTGAAGGAAAAAAAATCAGGCCATAATCCTAATGTTCATGTACATTAAAAAATGTACAACGTGCTTGTATGTTGCCTGGCATATAATAGACCGCTAATAACTGATAGACACCGAGCTTCCAGTTTGGCGAATGAGACAGTAAGCTTAACCGAAAAGCAGTGGGCCGGCTGCAGCCTGAATGACAGCCTCCCAGAAGCCGTGTTCTGTGCCTCGCAAGCACACATCCTGACCACGCAGAGAAGTGAATGTCATCTCACTCATGCTTTCCGTACCATGTTGAAGTCTCACTTGTTCATGTATGAAAACGTGTGCAGTCCTGTCCAGGCACTGGCTGAGTCTCGGTCTACTGACTTCCCATCATCGTCATTGCTATTTATAACTGAAGAATACCCAGCACCCATGGGGGAGGCTGGCAACCCCAGGTTTTCCCAAAGAAGCAGGAAAGTGTTTTCAACAAACGCGGAGAAAAAGCAGTTCGACCCTCTTCCTGGAACTACCTCATAACGTTTATTAATAGGTTCTGTAAACAAGTGTAAGCACGGTGTCAGCTTGCTGGTCAAGAATTAGAAACATTTATGAGAAGCCACTGAGGGAAAACAAGACAGAGTCATTGGAAACCTAACACTACTCGTTTATCCAAGACTCCGTAAACACAGTGCAGGGGCCTCCTCCTGTGATCACTCTACCAGATCTGAGACCCCTCCCGTCACTGCAGAAATCGCTTCCAAAGCCCAGCATGTTCTCCTCTGCTGATACAGAGGCTAATTATAAAATTTCCCAGGAGATAATAAATGTTACACTCCAATCAACACGTGTGATGCAAGATAAATAGGAAGCACATAACTTAGCCGTGGTCCTCTGTGTCGGGTACATATTTGTCTTTAATTATCTCCTACGCAGGAATGGATAGAGATTATCCATTACTGTGATGTTTTACTCTATACCTGGAGGATCATTCATTCAGGGCAGGATCATCAGTTTGAGCTGCTGTCTAGTCCCAGTTCATTATAAACTGTTCTCCTTGTATTTCCAAAGTACCCTGGCTTGGGTGGTATATACCATTTACTTAAGACTTTTTATTTTATGCCTTTTTATTTTAACAGCACGCCTTTAATCCCAGCACTCTGGAGGCAGAGGCGGGCAGATCTCTGAGTTGGGGGCCAGCCTGGTCTACAGAGTGAGTTCCAGGACA